TGATGAAAGCACTTGGAAAATCTTCAAATAATATTTTTGCAGAAACATAACCAAAAGGAAAGGCAAATTCATACTTGGGAAAATAACCAGTGCCCTCCTCATTTTACATGACGTCCTTTTGTATCACCTGACCCCAGCTTTTAGTCTGAGCCCTCATGTGTGGTACAATGTTAGGGGTTCAGGAGGGGTCATTCTTCTTGGTAAATTAGGTGATCAGAAGAGCCAGTAGTCCTGTAAGTCTCAGTAAGTTGAAATTCATATTATTGAGTCCCCACAGGGACCTCCATAACATTGGTTCATGATACTCCCTGGGAAAGCTGGGAAAGGTGACTGACTGAGGTCTATGTGTTGAATCATCCTCATTGTTAAAAATCCCCTGCTCATTAACAGCATTTTGATTAATTTTCACTGGGAAAGCATTTTTTTTTTCCACTTTGGCTCATATTTGAAACGTCTAGTCATAGCTCATCCAGAATGGCTTTGTCTGCAATCATCCTGTTGCATTTCTTTTAAGGCCTGATGATCTGTCAAAACCAACAGCCAATATTATTGCATTGCTGTTATGTTGGGAAAAGTTGAGTGTTGGGAGAAGCTGAGACAGGGGTTGCATGTCTGACATAATGTAAAAGAGTCTTGGAACATGTCTGGGATCCGGGGTCTAAAAGCCCTCATGGCCTTTGGAACACCAAGCTCTGTGTCAAAGGTTGAAAGGCTACCCTGACGCACCATAATTTAAGCCCAGGGCATAAAATCCCTTGTGGCTTGGACAGAATCTGGGGCTCATGGCTCTGGAATGTGTCTACACTTGCTGGTTCCTTGCTACTTGCTCTCCCAGGATGGATTGTATCTTTAGTTAAAAGAACCTGCTCTCCATTATCTCAACTAGCAGAGCAAATGCTAAACTGTTACAGTTGTAAATCATGTGCCTAATACCATGCGGCCTTTTGACCTTCACATTCTCACCACCTGTTTCTTTGTTGGATTACCAGTAAATACCATGAGCTCCCAGAGCTCACAGCCTTTGCAGCCTCCATACACTAGAGATGGCCCCTGGTGCCCACCTTTCTCTCTCAAACTGTCTTTTCTGAATCCTTTGACTCTGCCAGACTTTGTCACCCCCATGACCTGGTGCTGGGTCTGATCACCCCAACACTGTTATCGTTGCAATGTGATCATCAGATGTAACCTTGCAGTTTACTCATTGTTATCATTTTTACATTTCTAGGGCTTCCTTGACAATGGCACTGATGTGACTCCATCCAGCATCCATTGCTGTGAGAACTCTATTTGGCATATCATCACTGTGGGCATGAACATAACGGAGGCTTTCATAGGATGCAATGGTTGATATTCAACATTAGTCAAAATTTGTTCTAGTCATACCCTTGGAGCTCCACTGTGTTGGGAAAATATTTTAGGTAGGGACTAGCGTTTGGTAGAATTTTAAAAATAAAGGCTACAAAGAAATTTTCTATAGCAAGAGTAAGAACTATATGTGGTCCAGAATACCATTATTTTATGGAATGTTATAAAAAATTTTAAATGTATTTAATTTAGAGAAGAATTTTATAAATATGTTTATAGTACATATATGATAGAATAAATGTACTTAAACATGAATACTATATATATTTGTAGCCAACATTTTATCAAAAAATATGTTCACATCTATGTATCATATATATGTATGCATGCTTTTCCATAAATAAGGTAAATTTTAATTTTTTACTGAAATACTAATGAGTTTTAATTTTGTCTTTAATTTTCTCTTAATAACTTCAAAATTTGATTACTGAATAGTCACATTTATACCACCAGCTTAAGAAAAAATACATGTGTGTACATATAGGTAGAGGTGTAAATACTGTATCAGTAAGCTTTTGTGAATTAATGATTGGTAACTGGTTAAATACATAACTCAGTGGTTGATAACAGTAAACATTTGTTAGCATGCTCATGGATGCTCATGTTCACAATCATCTGGCTGATCAAGGAAGGGCTCAGCTGAGTGGTTCCTCTGCAGGGTACCGAGCTCATCTTCAGCCTATAGATATCAATTGTCTGAGGATAAGACTGAACAGCAGTGACTACACATGACAAAAGATTCTTGTGACAGGTCAGACAGGTCACAGGAGTGAACAACATTCAAAACCAAATTCACAGTTGAAGTTAAGTTTGATAATTTCTAACATAGCTTCAGATATGTAAAATATATTCTTTTATTTCAGTGAGTACAAATTTTCGAGAAAATGTGTAATCCATTTAATTATAGAGGCTATAATCATTCCATGGACAAATAATCATGTTTTCATCCTTTACAATCTTGAAAATATTTGCAAATGTAAATTTGCTTTAATAAGAAAATAAAGCTGGATATGTTTTCGACATGTGGCTTTAAATATAATCTTTCAAAATGGCCTCATTGGGGGAAAAATCATTTTAACTTATGTAAATATCCTTGTTTGCCTCTCTTGTGTCCTATAGAGTTGCCCGATAAGAGGTCCTCCCATGAGATTTGGAAGTCAGAAAAGGATGACTCAATATTCTCCATTGGTACCTAAGACAGACACAGGGACAGAGATGAAGACTGCAGAAACACCTGGAAAGATGCTGTTGGAAGTTGGGAGCAGCAGCATCCCTACTCCTAAGCTTCCAGAGAGGACTGAGGACCACATAGTTAGATAGCCCATACTTCAAGGGCAGATACATTCTGTTTTCTGAGGGAGCACCAGAGAATCCTGCTTCTAATATCAACTTTCCTCACTACTATATCCTTGGCTTTGAAAAGTGGTAGTGTGAAAGTTAATTGTAGTAATTAGGTTATTCTTGTCATACCCAAGGGAACCAAGAAACCAGGAGGGAAAGGCACTCAGGGTGCAAAACATTGTTTCTAGAATGCAATTGAAATAGGGCCTATTATCACATGGAACTAATGATTACTGTTTTTTGAAGAAACATAGAAATTGACTCCCCCTGTCTTAAAACTCAAGAAAATTATAATTGTCTTATCTGAGATCTTTTCTCAGGAAACCAACCATCAGTCCTCCCAGATACTATCAAGGAGCTGAAACTTACATATCACCAAATCAGGACAGTGAGACATCAGAACCTTCAACCATTATGATTGCCTAACTGACCTCCTGCTTCCTGTTGACCAAATTATCTTCCTCATGCCTTGCTAATTCCTGTTTTCCCACATTTCTTCCTGGCTATATATACCCCTAATTTTAGTAGTTTAGGGAGATATATTTGTAAATGGTGTCCCATCTCCTTGGCTGCAGCAACTGATTAAAGCCTGTTCCTTGGTAATACTTGTTGTCTTAGTGACTGGTTTTTTTGTGTGCTGAGCTGCAGGATCTACACTGAATCCCTGGCATTTCAGTAACAAAGTTATCTGCAAGCTTCATTGCTTTGGCTTATTGTAAGCTGAAACCAAATTTACCCACAACTTCTGAGATAACTTGATATAATTCTAGGATTCACTTTGTCCAGCATTGCTTACCAGTCTGAGCTTGCCAGCTCCCAACCCTTACTAGTGCCAATGAACTTTCTCAAAGAGCAATAGCTAACATTTTCCCTTTTTCATAAAACTCTAACCTTCTCTTTGTTCTTACAACATATTGAAGTCCATTGAGTTTTGCTACTGCAGGATCTGGCTAACAGCCCACAATGCAGTGGGGCTTTCTCTTCATTCCCAGGCAGATCAGTAGGTCAAGAAATAATAGACACACACAAGATAGTGAAAGCTGGGTCCAGGGAGGTCACCGCCTTCTAGTCCCACGGTGCCAACAATGCACTGGATATGCTAGCATTTATTATTAAGTTTACTGAGGGTGGGGGTAGGTTAGTGAGGGATTTAGGGTCATTTGATTATGAGGTGAGATGGTCACATAGGGATGAAGTAATCCTTTAATGTAACATCTGTATGCAGAAGTACAGTATACAGAGATAAGAATTGACAATATAGTGTGTGCATAAATAATTTCTAACAGAGCCTTAAAACAGGAACAGCAGTAACAGTTGCAGCAAAAGCTGGTTACAAACAATTCATAGAAACAGGACTTGAAGTTTAATTTCTAACAGAGCCTTAAAACAGAAACACAGTCTTTCCATGACCTATGATTAGCAAGATATTAATCAGCAGTAACAGTTGCAGCAAAAGCTGATTACAAACAATTCATAGAAGCAGGACGTGAAGTTAGACAACAGGTTAGAGCAGAAATTCTTGGAAGGGAGTATGCCTTAACCCTAAAAAGGCCTAGAAGAGCCGCAGCAAGATGAAGGCGTTTATAGCCCTATCTTATGGACAGGTGCCCCCTATGCGTCTGTTTATACGCTCCCCACGAGGGTCGCATTCCATTCCCAGAGCTGTGAACATTTGCTTTTCTGGGATAGGAATCTTGGTGATGTGAAACCTCCCTGACTGCACATCCATTCATAGGCTCTCTGCAGGGAGAAGTACATCACGCTCTGTTGGCTCATTCTGGCAGTCCAGCCCGGCATTATCTTTACACAATCCTGTGTGCAATTTTGTATTTACAGTAATTAGGAACATTTCATCTTTTATTCAGTAGCAATAGTTTCAGGGGGTCTCCCTACATTTTCCTGTATGCCCCATTTGGCAAATATTTCTTTGCACATAAAACATGAAATTTAGAGATTCATCTCTACATTTCATTAAGACTTCAGTAGTTTACTCTACTTCTCTGTCTAAGACAATTCCTGCTTAGAATATCTATAGTCACTTCTTCTGTGCTATATGAATTCCAACTGAAGCCATAAACTAGACTTCTCAGGTGTCATGATCTGTCTTTATTAAATCAGGAGAAGCATCGCTATGTCCGCGCAGGTGGGGTTGAGAAAGAGAAAATAATTAGGGTGCAGAGGTGACTTCATGTCCCCCTCTACCAACACCATCAGAGAGTGGCTGCATCTGAGGAACACTCTCAGCCCATGGAGGCAACAGGAGGAGCAGCTGGAGCAGCGCAGCCTCACACATCTGCTTCCCTGGGGGTTTATGTTTGGGTGTGTAACACTGTGGGAAGGGCACTGCTAAACTGTTGACAGTAATAAGTTGCAAAATATTCAGGCTGCAGGCTGCTGATGGTGAGAGTGAAATCTGTCCCAGATCCACTGCCACTGAACATTGATGGGACCCCACTTTGCAAACCGGGTGCCTTATAGAGCAGGAGCTTAGGGGCTTTCCCTGGTTTCTGCTGATACCAGGCTAACCAGCTGCTGATACCCTGACTGGCTTGGCAAGTGATGGTGACTCTGTCTCCTACAGATGCAGACAGGGAGGATGGAGACTGGGTCATCTGGATGTCACATCTGGCACCTGAGATTGGAAATACAAACACAAATATTCATACTATTAATCATATAATAGGAAGACTTCCCTGAATAGCCAGGCAGTACTGAGCACACTGGGCTGAGGAAACTGCTAGTGTTCTCCTTCCTTACCTGGGAGCCAGAGCAGCAGGAGCCCCAGGAGCTGAGTGGGGACCCTCATGTCCATGCTGTGTCCTGACAGGGTCTGACTCCTGCATGAAGCGTGTCCAGCCTATTAATAAATCTTCAGGGGAGGAGGCTGTATTCTGAGAACATGCAAATGAGCTGGGGAAGGGTCAGGCTGAGCACAGCTGCAGGGCTGGCTCATGTCATTAACTCAGTACCATCTCAGTGTCCCCAGGTGTTCCAGGTAAGACCAGGGTAGCACAAATTTGTCTGCAGAGAATGTGCTTCTACTGGGGACTATTTTGTTATGAAAAACATGTTTTAGGTATTTTTTTACCTAATAAAATATTAGGTAAAATATTTTCCTGTTAAATATTCCTCAGGAGTCGATGGAGCAATGTATTTCATTGGTGTATTGGGAGTATTTAGGAGAGTATTCTTGTTTGTGGGAAACACATAGTAAAATTTTAGACAGTACAATTCTCAGGTATTCAAAAGACTCTCATATGATTCCCGCTAGGGAAGGGGGTACTTGTCCTATACTTGCAACCTTTCTGTGAGTTTAATATTGTTCCTTTCTAAAAAAATTAAAAATAAAATTTATTGACATGATGCTATATATATTTGTAAGTATTAGGTAATGGTGTTATGCCTTTGTTCTTACTAGCATTAGATCAAGCAATTTCCTACAGATACACAGATGATACCATGTTTTCTCAATGCATTGCAGCACTCACAGATCCACCATTTTTTTTTTTTTTTTTTTTTTGAGACGGAGTCTCGCTCTGTCGCCCAGGCTGGAGTGCAGTGGCCGGATCTCAGCTCACTGCAAGCTCCGCCTCCCGGGTTCACGCCATTCTCCTGCCTCAGCCTCCCAAGTAGCTGGGACTACAGGCGCCCACAACCGCGCCCGGCTAATTTTTTGTATTTTTAGTAGAGACGGGGTTTCACCGTGGTCTCGATCTCCTGACCTTGTGATCCGCCCGCCTCGGCCTCCCAAAGTGCTGGGATTACAGGCGTGAGCCACCGCGCCCGGCCTAGATCCACCATTATTAAGAGCTACAGGTCTCTTTAATACCTAGAGACTAAATAGGCTGCACCTTATTCTTGTTTTTTGGCACTTTCAGAGTCTACATTCTTTTCTGCCATTGAGTATTATTTCCCAAAGTTCATCTCTGTTAGTGAGGGTAACCACTGCATGGAGCCTGTCCCTGCCATGGACCATGAATGCCACTATCCTCTTTTACTTTTTATCAGTGATTGGGATATCATCCTGACCCAGACACCAGCGACCCTGTTAACATCTTTAGGAAAGAGACACTGAATCTCTTATCAAGCAATTGCCTATGTACATGGAGAGATCAGTTGGATCCAGATGAAATTGGACAGGGATTTTCACTCATTATATCTAATATCTCTAATGTGCCCAAAAATGTCCCAGCCTGGCTCAGTAGCAGGGGAAGTGGCTCCAACTACATCAGCAGCAGTGGGCTGCATCCTAGGACTGTACACAATTTTACTGATGCCTGACTAGGGGAGCCAAATCACAGTGAAGTTGCCTGTGCACAAACCTTTCTGCTGCTTTGTAAGCAGGCTGAATTGTAAGGGAACTTGCTTATATTTGGAGAAAGGAAGAAATCTCCACTTGTCCTCTAAATGTTTGCTGAAAATGAACTGACAAAAGAAAGATTAATAAGAGAAAAGGAAAACAAAATTCATTTAAAATGCAGTGGGATATCATAGCATGGTGATTACCCAGATAACTCAATGAGATCCAGTTGTTCATATTTCCTTTCTAGGGAAGAGGGAATTGGGAAGTATGGGCAACCTGGAGAGAACAGATGAGACTAAAAGTGCCTCCTCAAAAGAGCAGGTAATAGTCTGTCTGGATAAAGCATCAACTTCCAGTCTCTTCTATTTTAGATTCCTCTTCTGTGTTAATCTTCCCTGATATAAAAATTCTCAGAAAGAATTTTCTTGACAATTGGTTTACTTCTGGAGAATCTGCTTTTAGGCAGATAAGGGATATTTAGGAAAAGCCTTTTTGTGCATTTGCTGCTTTCTAAATGCCTTTGGTTTTACATAATCATTATATCAATGCAGCATAGTTTGAGATGTTATTTTCTGGATTCCTTTACTTGCAACTCACCTGCCAAGATGCTGTTCAAGAGAGATGCAGCTACAGACTGAAAGGGCAGTTGACCCCTGAACAACTTGGAGGTTGGGGCACTGAGCACTGGTGCAGATGAAAACCTGTGTAGAACTTTTGCATTTCTAACTGAAGTACTAACAGCTTACTTTTGACTGATAGCCTTAGTGGTAAAATAAATAGTTGATTAACTATGTTTTTAAGTTATTTATATTATGTACTCTATTATTCCAATAAAGCATGGTAAAGAAAACAATTATTATTGGGTTATTAAGAAAACTATAAAAAGGAGAAAATATATTTACTACTTATTAAGTGCTTGCTCACAGGTGACACACACACAAGAAAATATAAGTGGATCTGCAAATTTCAAACCCAATTTATTCAAGGGTTAACTGAACCAGGATGAATGTAGCAGTCCCCATCTGTAGTCTAGGGCTTTCCCCTTTGCTGTACCTCTGCCCACTTCCAGTGGCAATATCCATGTCTTATGTTCTTTATGATCTTGGGCAGAGAACTCTGCCTGCGTGCGTTGGTGGCCAAAGGGCCTGGAATGTGTATCCCTTAGAAAGCGCTATGGTTTGACTCCGTCCTCCAGAATCCATCTGTTGTAAAGTTAATTCTCAGTGTAATGGTATTGCCAGGTGGGGCCTACTGGGGTGTGTTTAGGTCATCAGGGTGGAGCCCTCTAGTGGAATACATTAATGCCACTATAAACAGGGATTATAGGGCTGGGATCTCTCTGTCTCTCTTCGACTTGTCTGTCACATTAAGACATGGTGTTCCTTCCTTTGAAGGACCCAAAACTCCTGGTATCATCTTGAAACTGGAGTAAGCAGTCCTTAACTTGCCCATGCCTTGATCTTAAATTTCCCATTCTCCGGAAGTGTGAGAAAATATATCTCAATTTTTTATGAACTACACAGTGACAAGGAATCTGTTATTGCAGCTTGAAAGAGAGCAAGAGAGACAGCTCACAATCAGTGAGGACAGGATGAGGGGTATACATACCCCAGCTTCCTCATCTCTCAGGTGGAACAGCCCAGAGGAATTTAGTCCATGTTTCCACATGTGGTTGATCTTCAGTTATCCTGAGTCAGGTGGGTTGTTAATGTGTCTTTTACCATTCATCTTCTGTTCTCTTCCTCACTTTCCTCCTTCCTCCCAGTGTAAATTTGCTGCCTAAACAGGAATCCTCATTGCTGGTGGACCCAGACTAAGATACTGGAAAAAAAAAATCGTTAATCATTCGTATGAGGGATATTTCTCATCTGAATTCTAATAATTTCTTTTTCTTTTAAATATAGGAATATTCAGGAAACACTTAATTTTTTTTTTACCAATCTATTTTACATTGAATTTGTGAAGTGATTTTGTTTTTCTGTGTGTTAAAACCAAAAATTAAGTTGTAAGCCACCAACCAGCTGAATGGATTCCTCTTTTGATAGAGAACTTCAAAGAAATCTGAAAAACTAGGTTAGGGGATGACTGGCAGGTGGGCTTAGATGTGCCTCATTATACTCTCCTCCCTTTGGAGTTCAGACACAACTGACCAGCATTATCATTACATCAGAGATCATTGGACTGATAAAACAGATACTTTGTAGCAATAAGATACCACCATACTCCAACATGACAGATAATAGGCCCTGAAGAAAATCTAAATATTTTACCCTAAAAATATTTCTTTGATATATTCTGAAGTGGTTCTGCAAAGCTGCCTGTTGTGGGGGAAATTTGCATTCTATAGAGAATCTCCTCCCCTTACTAAGTCTTTTTTAAAGAGTCTGACATTTTTTTAAAGGTCTGATAGCAACATTCACCATCTACTTTATTTTCTACCCATAGGATTCATCTACATGACAAGAACCTTTGCTTCCACAACCCCTTTTCTAGAATCAAGCATTTCTTTATGATGAATTCAACTCTTTAGACAGAGCTTAACTCTTTCAACCAGTAGCCAGTCAGGAAAGCTTTGAATCCACCTATGACCTGGAAGCCCCTGCTTGAAGCTTTCCCACCTTTCCAGGACAAACTAAATGTATATCTGATATGTATTGATCTATATCTTTGCCTGTAATTTCTGTGTCTCCCTAAAGTGCATAAAACCAATGTACCCAACCACATTGGGTACATGTTTACAGGACCTCCTAAGGCTGTGTCACAGGCCATAAGCCTTATTTTTGGCAAAATAACCCTGTAAACTGATTGAGACCTGTCTCAGATACTGTTTTGTTTACACTGGGTCACAAAATTTAAAAATCCTCTAAAATGATCCACACATCAACAAATCTACATTAGAGACAGCGGAGTGAGTGAACCCCAACAGATAAAAATCACAAGTTAGAGGAACCTGAGTCTAAGATTTTGTCCAGCTCTCTTGATTCATAAGTAGGACAATTTTGGGGAAAATGTTTATTGTTGGTGGAATGAATAATGTCCCACCCCAAAAGAAGTCCATGTCCTCGTATCTGGAACCCAAGTGTTATAGGAGTTTTTAAGAAATTATTTTAGGCAGAGAGAGAGGAAAAAGGGTCCTTGGGAAGGTTTTGTTTCTTTTAAAGCAGCTCTAGAAACACTTCTTGTCTAGAGGAAAGCCCTGGCTCCTAGAGCCAGGTTGGGGAGCTTTCCCATGCAAATGCCAGCCATTAGAAACTAGATTCACCCAAACATGGCGATTCCCACTGTCTTCTTCTTTGTCAACACATGTGCCTGGAGAAAAACCTGAAAGATGCTGTAAGAAGTTGAGAGCAGCAGCACCACCATCCTTAAGACAGGACTGAGGATGACATGGTTAGATAGCCCACACTTCAGGGGCAGATGCATTCTATTTTCTGAGGGAGTGCCAGAGAATCCTGCTTCTACTATCAACCTTCCTGACTACAGTATCCTTGGCTTTGAAAGGTTGTAGTGTAAAAGTTAATCATAGGAATTCGGTCATTCTTGTCATACGCAAC